TGAATATGAGATTGTTGAAATAGTGGATGTTTCCGATAGTTATGTAGAAGTGAAGTTCTTAGTGTGGGTAAACGGCTTCAAGTCTGTCTACAAGCCTCGAGTGGAAGAAGAAGAGGCTCACAGAACAGAGAAAATATCTGTATCCGAGCATCTCAAGTTCTCTCATCGAATCCCTGCTTTTCGCCTGACAGAAGAGAGAGGTGGTAGCCTTCGAGGTTTCTGGGAGCTTGATCCAGCAGCAATGCCTCTTTATTTACTGTGCACAGATTGAACAGAGGCAGGCAACCTGAAGAAGCATCCAAGTTTTCTTTTGTTGACCAAACTGTGAAGAGCTTTTGTACATCATGGCCATGCCAATTATGATATATTTTCTTAGTTTATTTCCTATCCCAGTATTTGAAGCTTTTTGTACATTATGGATATGAGTTATGCTTTTCATAACTAGAAACTAGCTAATATAAAGATCTAAACTATATATACTTTCTTCTCTCTGATAATGCTTTTTTTTAACATCTTTCTTTTTTCCTTTTTAAGTTATTGTGTACTGATAGTTTATAAATGTGGAGTTCTTATTTTTGGAAAAACAAAACTACTTTGAACTCTCTGTTTCAGACTAATTGCATTCTATTCAAAGTTATCTTTAAAAACATTAACTTATTTGACACTAGTACTTGTCCACACGAAGCACGGTTATAGAATTTTCTTTTAAAATATGATCGAACTCATAAGTTAAACTTATGTATAAACTATTTGACGGAAAGAATTTGTGAAAACATTGTATGTTGAATATAAAAATCTGCATGTGTAAATTTGCATAAGAACACTTCAAAGTAAGAGTAAATTAACATAAAAATGTTACTATGAAATAAGGAAATGAGTTTATTAGATTAATAACTTACAAATTCTTTTCTCTTGTTAAACTAATCTTTTCAACCCAAATTAAATTTTACAAATCAATTATTATAATATATAATCTTCAAGGATGAACTAGTACCTCTAAAAAAACTAGAAAGTAATGGCCCGTGCCAGCACGGGCCCAATATTATTATGTATTATTCCTTTTTTTTTGTTAAATTTGTTTTTACGTGAAATTGGAGAAAAAAAATTGATGAATCTATCGGTGTATTCTGTAAAATGTTAATTTTCTATATTTGATGAGCTAAAATTTTTGACATATTTTCTCTAGAAAATAATATTTTTTTTCTTTTGAAATGAAGAAATGATTTCTATAATAAATATCATAACTTGATATCAATTAAAAGTTGGATTACAAGTATGTACCGTAAGATAACCTTACATATTAATCGTTTGTTGATATTTTAAGGAACTAAGTTTTACAAGATAGTTATGTACACTTATTTTACATAATAACAAAATGTGATACATTGTATAGAAAGTTAGGTGAGATGCAGATTGAGTTGTTTTGATCTTTGATTGAAAGATTAAGACCTGATACATATGAGAGAAGAAGAAAAATTATTATTCATAAATTACAAGATTGGAAAAAGAACCAAATCACAGTTGCTTGAAATATATAGGAGGTATGTACATACATGAAAGCAAGTGTACAAATACTTTAATATAATGACTTAAGAACCAAGTGCAAGGCTGATATATATATAAGGCTAGGTAGATAGCTATTGTTTCCGAGGTCGGCCACAACAGAGACAAATTCATAAATACAAATACAAGTAAAGTTATCGAGTTTATTCTTTAAGTACACAAAGAAAACACAAGCACAAATCTTCTTGTGGTTCATCTAGGAAAATGACCGCAGACTGGCACTACTTTGATTTCAAGTTCCTTCATCATTCACCTCTTTATTGCTAAACTAAGAAGTGATTGACTATACAGAAAACTATCTCCAATGCATCGATTAATAAATGAAAAGGACAAACGTAGTTGTTTTACACAATTCAAGTCACTCATTTATCATAATACTCTCAAAAACTATATGAGCTCTAAGGCAATATATTGATCACAATAATCAAACTACTTCCACTGCTAGTAATATAAGTAAATGCAACAAACTATCAATCACAACTACACAAGGGCCAAGATATATATATAAATATGGCCCCAGCAAAATCTATAAAATGGAAGATTTTTTGTACTATAATGGAATAGTCTAGTTTTGTGACTTCAATTGTGGCTTAAGATTTATAGTCTTTTATCATAGTTTTGTGCTCTTTTAACCGAAGGCCTTTTGAGGAATAGATTATACTGCCCAAAGTAAAGACACCCTGCACATACCGAGAATCGCTTCAAATGATACATTCAAGAGTTCAAAAAAAAAAAACTTACATTGAACCGTTGTTGAACTATGTCTTGAAGGTGTCAAACACTTTAACCTGTTTTACCTCTTTTCAAATCTAACTTGAACAACGGAAAAAAAATTGTGTGGGAGATCCCAAGAGCTTAGAATCAATAAGTTAAAAGGAATGATATTGCTACTTAATTATACGCAAGTACAACAATGATAGGCTTATTGTATTCATCCGCAATTCTCAACTCTCCTTTTACCCCAATAGAATACAAAAATAAAACATATAATGATGAAAGGAAGTAATTAACCTTTTCATGGTGCAAGTTTATTGATTAGACTAACTAATAGTGTATATGCAATCACTTACGGTGTTCACTTGTTTTTATTAAAAATCAACGGCAACATCGAAGACAAATTTGAGGCGAAACAGAGAAGCAAAGAGCATCTCAAATTTTTGAATTTAACAAAGACGCAATTCTTATAGTCCAACCGGTAACCCTACAGATCTAAAACAGAAGAATCAAATTGGGTCTTGATTTTCATTAAAATTTATGGAAAATGGAGAGAAATTTCAAAACCACAACCCAAAAATATAACCAAAAAGCATAAAAAGATAACAAAAAACTGCACATTTCTTAATAATAATACAATATAATCATTTACCCATACAACAACAACACATGCAGAAAAACTTGATTTTTTTTGCTTTGCAAAATAAAGAAGAAGAGAGACAGAGCATCAACTCTCATAGAATGTCTTAAATACACATCAGTTTGACAACATTGCTACGTGTCTCTTCCAAAGCAGTATTAAGACGTATGCAGCCTTTACTGATCAGTTTGGTAGTGTAAATGACCAAAAGACCCTTATTCTTTTATAAAAATGGCAAAAAACAGCCATGTCGAAACTGCTCAAAACTGTCTTTTCTATATAAGTAAAATGCTGGGAAGAAAAAAATCACCGAAGTAATTAAAGATACGTGAGTTAAAATTAAAATGTGTATACAAAAATGTCATGAAATAAGTGAAATGAAGAAAATGTTTTTACCTGAATATTGATGGGATATATTAAAGTTGGGAAAAGGGACGGATTTACCCCCGAACTTTAATAAATGGTAATTATATGCCCTTCGTTATACTTTGTGTCCACATAAGCCCCTTCCGTCCAATTATAGGTACACATATACCCTTCTCACTAACGGACCCCTAATTGCTTACACGTGTCTTATTCCTATTGAACTACCCGTTTAACCCTTTTTTTAACCCATAACCCAACTATCCACCCCATAACCCAATACCCACTCAATTTCCTCTAAAAGGAATCCTAATTAAAACACCCAAATTCGTCCCTTTTCCCTAGTCGGAGGTCACCGTGTATCTCACACACCAAAACCCTAGTCGTCGCCCGTATCCAACTATCCGCCGCGATTCCAATTTGTCTTCATCGATTCCACCTTGTCTTCGTCGAATCTATCATGTGTTCTTCGATTCGACTTGTGTTCATCAAAGGTACCCAAATATCCCATTCGATTTCATAGTTTTCTTGTTTTGTTGTTTTCGATTTGCTTTCATATACAGTAAATAAATTTGTTGTTGCTGTTTTTCGGTAGTTTTCTTGTTGTTTCTTTATTTATTGTGTAAGATATGCATTTTATAGTGAAAATCTTTCTAGGGTTCACTTTCTAGTTATTGGATTAAAGATATGTTTTTTTTTTTTGTTTTAGAGTGAAAATGAAGTACACTTTATAGGGTTTCACTACCAGAAAATGAAGTTCACGTTCCAGTTTTTGTGTTAAAGAAATGTTTTTGTTTGTTTGTATTCATGCCTTTTTGTTGTGGACCTTTAGTTTATGATTTGTTGGTTTAGAAAAGTGTAGTTTCAGATTCCCTCGACTTTGTCTACTTTATTCCACTACTTTATTTTTTGTTGGGATTTTTTGTTTGTATTCATGCCTTTATGTTGTGGACCACTTTGAGTTAATAAGAGATAATGCTTCTTTAATTGTTAATTGTGGACCACTTTGAGTTAATAAGAGATAATACTCAATGTTACTAATTGAAATTCTTAACTCAATGTGACTTAATTAACTAACTTACCTACTTTAATACTAATGTGACTAACTTACTTTATGTGGACAACTTACTTAATCCAAATGTGACTTACTTAACTAATTGACTTACTTAATCTTAATGTGCTTACTAATCCAACTGTGACTTACTTAACTAATATGACTTTCTTAACTTACTCAATGTGACTTAATTAACTAACTTACCTACTTTAATCCTAATGTGACTAACTTACTTTAAGTGACTAACTTACTTAATCCAAATGTGACTTGCTTAAGTAATTGACTTACTTAATCCTAATGTGCTTACTAATCCAAATGTGACTTACTTAACTATTATGACTTTCTTAACTTACTCAATGTGACTTAATTAACTAACTTACTTACTTTAATCCTAATGTGACTTATACTCACTGTTACTTATTTACTAATTAACTTACTTATTTGTGCTTATTAATTGACTTTCTCAACTCAATGTGACTTATTTACTAATGTGACTTATACTCACTATTACTTATACTCAATGTTACTTATTTACTAATTAACTTACTTAGTTATGCTTATTAATTGACTTTCTTAACTCAATGTGACTCAATGTGACTTATTTACTAATGTGACTTATACTCACTGTTACTTATGTTATTTCATAACTCTTTGTAGGTCATTAACATGGTTGAAGTTACCATATACTTTCATCATGGTGGTGAGTGACTAACCAGTCCAGAACCACATTATGATAGAGGATGTGTGACTTATTGGAAAGGGTATGATCCTGACCTAATATCTTTTATTGACTTAGTGAATGAGTACATTAATAAGTTAGGTTTTGCTGGTGTGCAAGAACTTATTGTACTTGCTCCAACTGGGAAATATTTTGAAATAATAGGTGATGAGGGAGTTAGGACCTTAACATCTTTTATCTCTACTGAGTATAAATTTATTCACTTGTTTGCTACTGAAGATTGTGAATTGTCTGTTGATGTAATTGATATTGTCATGCATGATGGGTCATTTCTACTTTCACCAATTGTTAATGAGGGCACAGACTGTAGTGAAAGTGAAGATGACAATAATAATGGAATGGTGTTTAGTTGCTCAGATTATGATACAGATGAATTAGAAAATTTTGTTACTAAAAAAAAGAGGAATATAATTGATGGTTTGCAAGATTATAAGGAGATTGCTAAGGGTATGGCCTTCAAGGACATACCTGAAACAAAACAGTTTTGTAAACTTTATGCTCTAGCTAAGAAGGTAGAACTAGTTGTGTTGAAGAGTGATAAGAAAAGATTGAGGTATACATGTGTTGCTGATGGCTGTCCATTTTTACTTCTTATTTCTGGGGATTTGACCACTCCTGGAGTTAGTGTCAAAACACTTGTAGATCATATAGAGTGTGGAATAGCATATGATAACTCTTTAGTAGATTACTTAACAATAGCCTTGTATTTCAAGGACAAATTGCAAAGTGACCCCAAGTACAAAGTCAAAGAAATGAAGGCTGATTTACATAGAGTTTTTGAGCTAAATGTAAGTGAAGCAAAGTGCAAGAGAGCCAAAAAGGAGATACTGGAGAGTTTAGAAGGTAGATTTGTAGACTCTTACAACAAATTAGAGGGTTATGCTACTGAATTGAGAAGGTGTAATACAGGGTCTGACATTGTGATAGATTTGTCTAAAAAGGCACTATCTAATGGTAAGAGAAAATTTCTTAGGATGTATATCTGCTTCAAGGCAATGAAGTTGGGTTTTAAGTCTGGGTTAAGACCACTTATTGGGTTAGATGGTACATTCCTTAAAGGAAAAACTAAGGGACAGGTATTGTGTGCTGTTGGTCAAGACAGTAATAACTATTTCTACCCTCTAGCTTGGGCTGTGGTAGATAAAGAGACTAAGAGGACTTGGACATGGTTTATGCAACATTTGCAACATTCACTTGAACTTCAAAATGGTGAAAGACTGACATTTATATCAGATATGCAGAAGGTAATATTATACTACTAATTTGTAATTTATTTACCTTTGCTTGATACTGTTTCTTTTATTAATTTTAGTTGTTTTAATTTGATACTTAGGGGTTGCTTGAAGCAATAAGGACAATCTTACCTGAAGCACATCAGAGATATTGTGCAAGGTATATTGAGGCAAATTGGTGCAAAAGATGGGGTAAAGGTGAGCTAAAAAAGTTGCTATGGTAGGCTGCATGGTCATCATTTACAGAGGAGTTTGAGGACCAACTTCAAGAGATCAAGGAAGTTAATGGAGAGGCTGGACAAGATTTAATAGACAAGTATCCTCCCAAAGCATGGTGCAGAGCCTATTTAGATACAGTGTGCAAAAATCAGGCTGTTGACAATAACTTTACTGAATCATTCAATGCCTGGATACTTGAAGCAAGGTACAAGCCAATTATTGGAATGTTGGAAGACATCAGGGTCAAAATAATGGAGAGGTTGGCAGCAAAAGAGGTTGCTGTGAGGAAGTGGAAAGATGATGGATTTAGTCCCAAAAGTGAGTTGTTGTTTATTGAGTATTTGAAGATTTCCAAGGTTTGTAAGGTGAGTGGCAATGGGGATAATGGCTATGAGGTTATTGAAGGTGCAGATAGACACATTGTCAATTTAAGAGAGAAAAAATGCACATGCAAAACATGGGATCTGACTGGAATTCCATGTCCACATGTAATTAAGGCCATGGAGCACAAGAAAATGATACCAATGAAAGAAATTCATTGGTATTTAGTAAGGAGGCAACATTGGCAGTTTACAAACACAAGTTACAACCTGTTAGGGGAGAACCATTCTGAAAATGTGATCCTTTACATGCCATTGAACCACCTGAATTGGTCAAGCTTGTTGGTAGATCTAAGCTTATGAGGGAAAGAGAAAAGGATGAAGTTGTTAAGAGGCAAGGAGTATGGAAGCAAACAAGAAAAGGAAAAGTGATGATATGTAGTAATTGTGGAGAACAAAATCATAATGCAAGAGGATGTGAAAAGGTAATTTTCATTTAATCTTTAATTTCATCAAATAATTATTCTATTTTACTATTTAATTCTATATCTTTTATTATGATTAATAAGGCAAAGCAGGGGAAACAACTTACTAAGAAGCAGGGGAAGCAACTTGCTAAGCAAGGAAAAGAATCTGGCAGGGGGAAAAAGAGGCAGCTTAGGAGAGGTTTAGTTGATGAAGATGAAGCTTCTGAGGAAGACATCAACTGCATAGCCCCACAACCAACACAAGAAAGTCAGTTTGGATATGTTTCTTCTAGCAGCTATTTTCCAGTAGCTGAGGATGATGATGAAGACCCTAGGCTAAGGCCAAGAACAATCTCAGAAGAAGTTTTTCTAACAAGATTGAAAAAGAAACAGAATCCACAAGAACCAATTGGAAGTAGAGTAATAGGCTTCAGAGGTGACAAATTTGGTGTTAGTGAACCTACAAATCTTCCCATAGGACCGACTGTCTTAACTTGGAATGGACAAGGTGCAGTTACTACAAACCAGCTACAAAAGTTGAGGCCAAGAAGGGGATGATGCTATTGTGTTGGTACTGTTTTGTATATGCTGGTGCCTATATTGATGTTAAGGCTAAACTTATATTTTTGCTATGTTTTGTATAGGCTGGTGCCTTAAATGATGTTAAGGCTAAACTTATTTTTTTTGGTATATTTTGTGTAGGCTGGTGCCTTAAATGATGTTTTTGTGATGTTTTGGTTGTACTATAGGCTGATGCCTTTAAGGTTAAAATTGTAGTTTTGGTACTCTATTTTACTTCTATTATTTGTATAGGTTGAGTGTATCAGCTAAAACTAACTGTCGTTTTGTTTATATATGACCAAGTGAATGTTATATATAGTGTCTTGTATCTGTTGGGTTTTGTTGATGTACAATAGTATTTTGATGTGGTATACATTTTTTGAGACCATTTTCTCTGTCAATGGTCGACTGTTGTGGTAAATTTCTTTTCCTTTTGGTTCTATATTGAACTGATAAGTAGATGATGATTTACTCAAAGGTAAATTTATTGACTGTTGCGATAAGATGATGATGGTGATTTAAGAGGGGTATTTGATCGAATCCAAGAGGCATTCCAGAAATTAATGTGTATGCTGTTTGCAGGTTTCCAAAGAAGTCCAATTTGGCAATATTGCCATCCATGTTGAATGGCTTTCCAAGTCCTAGATTTATTAGAGCTAATGGCAGTCACAGAGCTGGTGTTGTGAGTTGAAGAATCACCAAGCAGTCACAGCAAGCAAAGCACGATTTTTAAATTTAAGACTTCATGGATGATGTTAAACCGAGTTTCTGATGTTGTCTGATAAGTAATGGAATTTTTTTTCTCTTAAAAAAAAAAGTTAGTTAGTGATTTTCATGTTGACAGTTTAATAGTGTCTTTGTGCAAGTTTAATAAAACCTGAAAACACGTTTCATAAACAATGGTAAGACAAGCTTTCATTTCATTTTCAGATTCTCTAAATTCAAGGAAAACATAATGGCAATACCAGAAAATTTATCCATCTTCAACATAATGACTAATATAACACAAATAAATACTACAAACTTTAAGGCAAAAGACACAAAATAATGTTCAAAGCCAACACTTGAAATTCACAATACGTTTGAAGCAATAGCTACACTAAATAATGACCAACATTCAAACATAAGATTCACTAATACATAGGAACAGTTGAAATAACTAACACTTGAAACTACAAATACTTGAAATAACTAACACTTGAAACTACAAATACTTGAAATAACTAACCCTTGAAACTACAATTCAACAACATATATTCCTCATGCTTCCAGTTAATCACTTGAAAATTGCAACAACAAATACCACAAACATAGTAAATGACAATATACACAACATGTTCAATTTCAACACTTTAGCTTCCAAATTTCTTGATTTATTCACCTCGAAGTAGTTTAAACTCTCTAAATTCTCCAATTTTTTCCTCAAATTGTCTCTTTCAATCTCATTTAACAACTCTCTCAAATTCTCCATTTTCAACGTAGCAACTTCCAATTTAGACTTCAATAAATTAACTTCAATAGAAGAATTTTCTGAAGAACTGTCTTCCCACCTTCAAAATTTACAATTTTCAATCTAATAAAAATAACAGAGAAGAACTCATAATCACCAAAATACAAGCACAAATCATATTAATTTACATTTAGCGAAAAATGTACCTTAGGTTTTGAACATCTATAAAATCTTCTTCCGGGGTTCAATGAAGTCCTTGAAGTGAAACAACGAGCCAATTCACCACAAAAACAAGTCATTATCATGGAGTTACTAATTGAATCACAAGAACTTTCAGACATGGTTTTAGGTCTGATTTGAGGGAGACGACAGATAGATGAAAAATTGACTACAAAAATATTGAAGAACACACAACAGATTCGACGAAGACAAGGTAGAATCGACGAAGACAAACTGGAATCGCGGCGGATAGTTGGATACGGGCGAGGACTAGGGTTTTGGTGTGTGAGATACGCGGTGACCTCCGACTAAGGAAAAGGGACGAATTTGGGTGTTTTAATTAAGATTCCTTTTAGAGGAAATTGGGTGGGTATTGGGTTATGGGGTGGATAGTTGGGTTATGGGTTAAAAAAAAAGGGTCAAACAGGTAATTCAATAGGAATAAGACACGTGTAAGCAATTAGGGGTCCGTTAGTGAGAGGGGTATATGTGTACCTATAATTGGACGGAAGGGGCTTATGTGGACGCAAAGTATAACGGAGGGTATATATGTACCATTTATTAAAGTTCGGGGGTAAATCCGTCCCTTCTCCCATTAAAGTTTGCTTTCATCTTTCTAAACCTTATAACGAAGAATTTATAATTGAAACGTCATGCAAACAATTATGTTTAGAGTAATAATTATTTTGGTTGTATAAGGATAAAAAGCTCAAAAATAATTATATTCTTGCCAAAGGAAAAGTGTCATGTTACCTTTCTCGATTTTAAAATTTCTTATATATTTCGCTGAAATTTAACTAAAATATCTTATGAAGCTAATAATTTACAAATAATGAATTTAAACATACATGATACAACCAACAAACTCATCCAACCAAATTTCAAATATTATTTATATATCTACACAACAAAGGGTAGAAAGGACATCAAGCTTATTTATGGAGAGGTAAAATATGAAGATGAGGCAAAGAATTAATCATCCATTATCACCACATTGAAGGATATATTAAGAGAATTAATTTGCTTCAAGTGTATGGGAATTGTGTCCATTCCATTCATTCCAATGATCCATGGTGGTGAGTGGACAGGAGATTTTAACATGTTATATTCTATAAAAAATCTTGTTAACAAATGAGAATGTTATGATTCTTATCTCATGGAAAAAGTTTTAAGCAATAATTGTGTCTTTAACCATGTTAATGTCATGTATTAGTTGTACATAATATAATAACAAATATATCAAATAAGGTATTAATAATACACAAAATTAATACATACATTATGTTTTCTAATTCATCCTGACAACCTTGAAAGATATTGTGACCAACCACAAAACAAGATGTGAAGTTCAAATACTTTTTTAGACAACTAAACTACAAAATAGTAATTTAGTAAACAAATTGGGCATTTGGTCTAGTGGTATGATTCTCGCTTTGGGTGCGAGAGGTCCCGAGTTCGATTCTCGGAATGCCCCTTTTTGTCGCCCTCACTAAAAGCTAGGGATGGCAATGGGGTGGATGAGGGGCGGGGCAAATTTTATGTGGGTTTAAACTTAATTTTAATTTTTTATATTTTATAAGAGTGATAAATCTACTAAAATATTTAAGATAGTAAATGAAAATGCTTCAATAAAAAATAATACAATCTCTTACATGTTTCTCAATTGACCTCTAAAAAATAAATTTTTAAGTCATTATCTATTAAATTAATACAACTTAATATAAAATAAATTTATTTTATGAATTTTATTTTTAGTATCAAACTTAACTAGAAAGAAAATATTAAAAAACTATGCGGGGCAAGTTGAAAATGAAATTTTTTTTATGCAAGGTGGACCAGGATGAATTAAAAAATTTGCAGGTTAAACTCAATTCGTCTCACCCCACACCGCACCGCCTCATTGCCCTCCCTACTAAAAACCTTATTTCTTTGCAGGATTTTGGACCTACAATATAAGTTTATGAAAAGAAATATATGTTTATGTTTTATTAAAACAAACCTTTATTCATAACTCATTTGGGTGAACATGTAAAAGCTGTGGCGTTTTAATTAAAAAAAAAGCCTTTATTCACCTATTGAATAAGAATATATTTTACAAATTTCAAATGCATAGGTTGTTTAATAGTGGGATATTTCTCCTATATATTTCATTATAAATATAAATACTACTATTAATTTTTACATTTCAAATGACATATTTGAAAATTTGGCATGGTTATGGGCTTATGGTTGTAGGCTCTAGCCGAAAACACTTCTTCTTGGTTGATCATTATTGGAAAAATTACATAACTAAACGTCTTTTATTTAATAATTATCACTTTTAAGTATACTTTTAATTTATTACTATTTTTGTCAACTTTTAGCAATACTTACTTAAAATAATTTTGTTCCTTTAAACTTAACAAAAAGTGTTGTCATTCGCAACTTTTAGCAATATTGTCATTCAGCCAAATTGTTATATATGGTTAAAAGAATAATGTTGACAAATGTCGTAAATATTTTTTAAAAAGTGTACACGTAAGTGATTTTCCCTTAATTATTTTGGGCAAAGTTCAAAATTTTCATATATTTGAGGCTAATTACATCTTATTCTGAAAGTTTGCTCAATTAAAAAAATACCTTATTTTTCATCGCTCGCGGATACATTCCTCTATTGTCAGATACATTGCAAATGATACATTGCTTAAGATTTTGTTGCGTCAGATACATTTCTCTATTATCGGATACATTGGTCTCTACTCTGTTGTTGGACACATTGGTCTCTAGATACATAGCCTTTCAGATAAATAACAGTAGGTGTATGTATTGGGTACTAAAATATAATGAAATTTGTCATAATTGTGTATCAGATACATAACTATGAACATGATTCATAATTAGAGGGATGTATCTGAGATTATGAGGGAGTGAGAGGGAGTGTGAGAGAGAGAGAGAAGGAAAAAAGGATTTTTGTAATTTATTTAAATGGTAGGAAATTTTAGAGATTATGATATCTTAAATTGTGTATTTATGTAAAATTTTCAATTATTTTGTGATTAATATGTGTGTGCCCACGGATATAAATTGAAGTTATTTTAGATTTTATATGAGTAATTTGGAGTTAAAACACTGTTTGCAACAAATTATAAACGTATGAAAAATAAATCAATCACAAGCGAAATCTGAAGAAACAAGAATATTTTAGTGATAAATCAATATGGATTTAATTTTGTTTCTCCCTTGATTCTTCTCTCTTAAGATTTATCCATCATTCCGCGACTGTTAGTGGCGTATCTTTCGAACTAGGATGATTTGAATTTGATCTCTCTTTGTGAATATTTCATGAATT